TGGAGTTTTTAGATTGAGAGACAATGAGACTTTTAGAGAGTAGAGAGTTTTTGAGAGGACTGAGGAGATCTTGTCCATTGCTCGGTTTCATGTTTCTATTTGGGCCTCGATGTCCCAAAGCATTTTGTAATTACCCTCAATATTCTGCCAATATTTCTCATTGACCATTAACTTGTCAGAATATCCGCGATCTTTTGTCGATATTGTCCATATTTTACCGATATTTTACCAATATCCACGATATTTAGTTGATATCCGTGATATTTTACAACTTTTCGTCTCTACTTACTATTAACACATACTTAAGTTTTTCTCACTTTAAAAACTTCCACAATAAGTTTTTGGGTTAGACCAAGAATTTAGGATAAAAAATTCATATATAAATTAAGTTAGAAATATAGCAACCTCTCCTTCTCCTTCATTGTATTTATCAATAACATATTTGATCATTGTCAATAACCAAAAAATACATCTTATTATTGTTAAATAATGTATTTGTATGAACTAGTATTGTCTATTTATCAATGAATTAGTCAAACTTTTGTTGATTTATGGACATTCACTATTCATTCTTAAATTATTGTGTATGTTAATCACATATTTGCTTAAAATGATTGTTTATGATTTAAATAAACTTTTGTTGAAGTTTTATCGTCATATCGACATCGACATCGACATCGATATCTTCATCCTTATCCTTCACTGTGATCTTGCAACTAAAAGCTGGGAGGTTATTCTTGAAACTTTTACATGGCTTGGTGTAAAGCAAAGGATACTTCCTCTATGCTCCATGAAATTCTCTGATCAATGGATTTTTTAAAAAGTTAAGGTCCTTCAGAGAAATGCCACAAATGGTTTACTTGGGCTCTCGACTAAGAAGCATGGTCACTTCATTTTCAGTATAAAACATGCCAAAAACGTGTCTTATTTTTATTTTTTTTTTGTTTTCAATATCGGACATGCTAACAACACGCCTGTCTAAAAAACTCAAAGAAAATGTAGTCTATTTAAAAAAAATTTAAGCCTTCTAAAAATAAATAAGAAAGCTGTAATTTTTTAAAAGAAAACCCAACCCTAATTTGTCTTGGGAAGAATAAGAGTCCCCTACCGCTGTCGTGCTTCGCCTCCTACAGCTTTGGCCCCTGCTGTTCTTATTTTGTAATGTCGAGCAAATTTTGTTTTGTTCAATTTGTGTGGTTAGTAACTAGAAGCATTACTATGTCAATTAGGGGTGAAGAAAGTTTGGGTCGGTTCAGTTTTCAAGCAGGGAGGGAAAACCCGAAATCGGTTCGATTAAATATATGCAAAACCGAACCGAATCGAAATCAGTTTCGTTCGGTTCAATCCAAACTCAATTATTTTAAAGTCTCCTAAATTTCAAAAGACCTAATTATCCATACCCAGATTCAGAAAATGGCCTCTTGAATTTAAAAAGCCCTAATTATCTACCCCAAATTCAGAAACGACTTCTAAATCTCAAACCAAGATTTGGGTTTTGTTTTATGTTAGGTTTGTAAGAAGTGCAAACAAAGTCCCATATTGGCTAAGGAAGTGAATGATCATGGGTATATAAGAGAGGACAATTATCTCCATTGGTATGAGGCCTTTTGGGTGGAACCAAAAGCAAAGTCATGAGGGTTATGCTCAAAGAGGACAATATCATACCATTATGGAGATATGTGGGATACGAAGGGTACCGTTGTCCTTAATATTTTAAAGTCATGCATTTGGCAATGCAGCATCGTCAAAATTCCTAGAGGAAACCAGCTTTCTTTTCCTTTTTTTAGGATCAATGAAATTTTAAGAACAGAGAGAAATAATATAGCCCTTTCTATAAAATTAAAAAATAAAAAAAAGAGAGAAAAAGAAAAACTAAAAACTAAGGATAGAGACACCGGAGAGACATACACGAGAAAAGAGAGAAGAAATAAATTCTCAAATTGATTGATCAAAGATGAGGAATAGAGGCACTATTTATAGGTTACAAGAGGA